AACCTTAATTATCATCAATTTAAATTGAAACTTATTGATTTACTTAATGAAAAATTAGGGGTAATCCAAAAAAAATACCGTTACTACCATTTGCAAATAAAAAAACTATTAAAAAAAACCAGAATTATCTGAAAGACTTGGCTGAAAATAAATTAGCCTTAATTAAGCAAGAATTAAATATTATGAGGTAAATATCTTAGATTTCTCTGTAAACGGTAATTCACCATTTACTAAAACTTTTTATAGTAATGTTCCAACTTAAAGCTAGTTTTTCACCCCGTGGAGACCAACCTAATGCTATTAAGGAATTAGTTAACGGCATTCAAAAAGAACAAAAAGAGCAAGTTCTTTTAGGAGCCACGGGCACCGGTAAAACATTTACTATGGCCAATGTTATTCAAGCAACCCAAAAGCCTACTTTAATTCTTGCTCATAATAAAACCTTAGCCATGCAGATTTACCAAGAAATGCAAGGATTTTTCCCCCATAATAAAGTAGAATATTATGTTTCTTACTTTGATTTTTTTCAACCGGAAGCTTATAAGCCGGCTGGTAATATTTATATTGGCAAAAAAGTCCAGCGGAATACGGGCATTGCCAAAATGCGGTTAAAAACTCTCAACTCCCTGATTACCGAAAAAAAGGTTATTGTAGTAGCTTCAGTGGCAGCTATTTATGGCTGTTTTAACCCCACTTCTTACCGCAAAGTGGTTATTCACTTGGAAAAAGGGCAACAAATAGATAAAGGTTTAATTAAAGATAAATTGCTGCTCCTAGGATATAAAGACAATAAGAAAATTAATCCGGGAAAATTTCAAATAAAAACTGAGAGTATTTGTTTTATGTTAAGTTGAGAAGAAAATTATTATTTTCAAATAAATATTACTAATAATCAAGTCCAAAAAATCGAAAAAAGGAATAATCACACGGGAGAAAAAGTCCGAGAATCAGTAAAAATTGCTATTCCGCCTAGTCAGGATTATGTGGGAGAAGAAGGAGAAGAATTAGCGGAAATTTTAGCCAAAATTAAGCAAGAATTAGCGGAACAAAAAGAAAATTTTTACCAGGGAAGGAAATTTTTAGAAGCTGAAAGATTAGAAAAAAGAGTACAGGATGATTTAAAAGATTTAAAAGATAGGGGTTTTTGTCCGGGTATTGAAAATTACGCTCGTTATTTTGACGGGAGAAAAGAAGGTGAAACCCCTTTTACTTTATTGGATTACTTTCCAAGCGGATTTTTAACTATTATTGATGAATCCCACATTACTATTCCCCAAGTAAAAGCCATGTATAATACCAATCGGAAACGGTTAGAAACCTTAATAAATCACGGTTGGCGCTTGCCTTCGGCTCTGGATAATCGACCCTTAAATCAAGAAGAATTTTTCCGCAAAGTTAATTATATTCTTTATGTTTCCGCCACGCCGGGCAATTTTGAGTTAGAGAAAGTAAATTATCAACCGACCGAACAAATTATTCGCCCCACGGGTCTGCTGGACCCAGCATTAGAAGTTCGCAATTCCGTTAATCAATTTGCCGACATTATGCGGGAAATCGAAATAAGGATTAGTCAGGGAGAAAGAGTGCTTATTTATGCTTTAACCATTGCTATGTCCGAAGATATTGCCAGTTACCTTCAAGAAAGATTTAATCAGCGGGTTGTATATTTGCATAGCCGGTTAGAAATTTTTGATAGATATCAGAGAATTAATAGTTTACGACGGGGGTTTTTTGACGTGATAGTAGGGATTAATTTACTGAAAGAGGGGATAGACTTACCAGAAGTTTCCTTAGTTTGCATTCTAGACGCTGATAAGCCAGGATTTTTGCGGGATACTCGTTCTTTAATTCAAATAATTGGACGAGCTTCTCGTAATAGTCAGGGTAAGGTTATCCTTTATGCTGACGAAATTACTGCTAATATGCATGGAGCCATCGAAGAAACTGACCGACGGCGAAAAATCCAAACTGAGTATAATCGAAAAAAAATGATTACTCCCCAAACTGTTCACAAGCCAGTCAAAGATATAGTATTAGACCCTTCCATAGCCATTTTATTGGCGAAAGCACAAAGTGGGAAAATGAACAAAAAAGAGTTAGCCAAATTAATTAAAAACTTACAAAGAGGGATGAAAAAAACTACGCGGGAATTTAAGTTTGACCATGCTATTGCTTTTCGGAATGCTCTGGCAAGTTTAGAAAAAAGTGCAGGAGAATTAACTAGCAAATTAAAGAGAGAAAAGTAATTTTCACTTATAATTTGACTCTCAAAACTAGACAGAACCTTTTTTTATAAATATTTTTCCATCCGCAGATTCCCCTACGGATACCTTGTTACGACTTAACCCCAATTGCCAATCCTACCCTTGTCAACTACCTCCCTTGCGGGTTAGTAAGTTGGTTTCAAGTATTACCGACTTTCGTGATTTGACGGGCGGTGTGTACAAGACTCGAGAACGTATTCACCGCCACATGGCTGATTGGCGATTACTAGCAATTCCGACTTCATGGAGGCGAGTTGCAGCCTCCAATCCGAACTGAGGCTAATTTTTTGAGATTTGCTCCCCCTCGCGGGTTGGCGTCCCTTTGTATTAGCCATTGTAGCACGTGTGTCGCCCAAGGCATAAGGGCCATGACGACCAGACGTC